AGCACTGTGAAACTGCCTGTAGGGTGCTTGACCATTTTAACACAACGTGGTGCGATCATCCCCCTTGCGCGGAGTGAGGGTTCTCCACCCCGCACAACATGATCTACTCGACCACCATCATGGTTACCGCCAAAAAAAAAAACGGAGGTAAAAAAAAAGAAACGGTAACCTGGTTGCCGAGTTCACGAAGTGAATTGGCTTGTTTTACAACGTCGTTGCCAAGCGACGAAAACCCAACCCCGATAGCAAACACCGGGGGGGGGCTCAGGGATAGGGGGGCACGGACAAAAAAAACGCGAATGAAGCGAAAGCCGGGAGGGATGGAGGCGAATGGTTGTGCTGTATATTGCTCGTCTGCTGGCAAACGCGAGAACGGCAGCACAAGTAAACAGCTAGAACTCTGATAGACCTCTGAGGAAGAATGACTGATGCGACAACCGCGGTTCTCGTGTTCTCGTCATCTCAAAATCTGCTCGCAGAACGCAAGAGCGCCACGTCACGACCCGTCATGACGCGAGAGGCGAAGCCACGAGCACAACTACCGACACCATTACCACCACCACTATATATCACCGCCAGCAGAACAATCAAGAGGTTCCCCTACCGCCGACTGGCCCAATAGCGACAGGGACTCACCACGCCGGCGAGCACGACCGTGTCCGTGGAGTGGGTGGCCGTGTCGAGGTGGTCGAACGAGTGCGCGGTCATCACCTGCAGCCGCCGCTGCCTTCGCTGCTGCTGCTTCTGAGACGAGCTCCCTTCCCCCTTTGCTGCTGATACTTCGTGTGTGCTTGCTCCTGTGGTGGACAAAGTCCGTGGTAACACGACAGGTCCCGGTCCCGCAGCGGGAACCTCACCGTCTACCTCATCTGCGGGGCCCCTGTCCATCGCCAAGGTTCCGGAATCTAGCTCCGACGGTGGAGGTAGCGGCGGAGTGAAAGCTCGCTGGTTCGCGGATCCCACCCACCGCAACGAGCTGTGTCCCACGGTCTTTATGTGCTTTCGGTTTAAGCGGCGCAGGAGGGCAACCGAGAGGTAACGGGGGAGGATGTGGTCGAGGGGAGCGTAGTCGGAGAACACCATGCGGCAGGTTCCCGCACCTCTCCCGGACCCCTGATAGCGGAACAAGTTTACGGGCGACGGGAAGGAAGATCACGCTTCTAAAGCATGCTGTCTCGCGCGGAGGAGTATTCATACATGTACTGTAGCTGGCGTCGAGGACGGCGGGGTGAACAAAGCGTCTTGCTCAGAACTTTCTGACACAACCTTCTCTACCTCTGCGGGCACGAAACGGCGCACACTGCGTGAACCATGGGTGCTGTTGGCGTGTACAGGTCCTTCCTGGATCGTTGGTGTCATTGTTGCTGCTCTCGATGTTGTCGCGTTCAAGCCATGCGTCATGTCGACCTTGCCGTTTCACCTCCTTCTTGTGTTCTGATCGCAAGTAAACAGGAGAACCTCCCGTTGTTACTAGGGGGGGGGGGGGGGCACTCATAGTCGTGCATGCCGGAGTCGCTAGACCATTGCCCTCGCATCTCTACAAAGCCGAGACGGAGCACGCCGGGTTCTCACCGAGCCAGGCTCTCACATCACCAAGCGCGAGGCGCCGTGAGATGTTCGGCGAGTCGCATGAAGGGTGCGCTGCATCCTGCTAAGGGTGTTCGGCATCTTGTGCTTACTTCCTTGCGTACGGATGACAGCTGCCTTGTTTCTTACCACGAACAAGGACGGGCTAGGCCACCTTCCAAAAGCGCAGGGCAGCAGATAAACACGCGAACTACAGAGCTGCAACTCATAGGCAACGACCTCAGGCCACAAACGAAACCACACAACAACAAAAATCCTCCAACCGCCCGAGCAAGCTTACGTTGTCTGCCGCCGCAGCACCAGCACCAGCACCGCTTCGCCCTTCCTGGATCCAGCACGCCAGCTCCAAAGCCTGCCAGGAGGACCCCACGATGGTCACAGCCCGCCCAGCAGCCACCTCTCTCTTCAACTCCTCCCTTCCCGCCCCTTCTCTCGACCCCAGCAACGTCACGTGCTCCCTCGCTGCGGGCTCGATGAACCCCGGGGGTGGTGGTCTGGGCCTCGACCCCAGCGCCACCAGGCAACGCCCGAACGCCACAACTTCCTGCTTTCGCGACGATGCCACTGCTGCCTGGACGTTGCCGCTCTCGCCGGCTGAATTTGGTACGGACTCTTGTGTGTCTCTGGTGCTGTTGTGACTAGGGACCCCCTTCTCTGAAAGCTCGGCGGCCGTAGAAGCCAGAGGCGGCGGCCGTGGCGACGAGAGTATCACCTGCCCAAGGTCGGCGTTGAGGGCGATCGCCCTCGCCCCTACTGCGAACTCAACCCCTGCTCCCGCCGAAGAAGGAGCGGCGGTTTCCCTCCTCGACATCCACGCTGATGGTATGCCGCCACCGCCACCTCCGCTGTCCGTACGAAAGTTGGGAGCGTTTAGGCTTGCGTCCTCACGAGCATCCACCACCAGCACCTTGGCCAACGGGTCACGCTCTAGGAGGGCGGCGAGGGCGGCTCTTCCTGCCACCCCGCACCCCAGAATCACGTACGGAAAGTACCTTACTCGTTAAAGCGGTGGTCGTGGATGCGGCGGAAGGGGGGGGGTGCACTCATGTTGTGCATGCCTTGGCGGTTAGACGTTGCGGCAGGGGGCGATTTAACTCAGGAATGGCGAACAAGACACCTGACACGTACCCATGCGCGTGCCCGGTTGCCGGCAACTGGATTTGCGCAGGAGACTTAAGTCTTTGCTAGGCGATGTCTATCCAAGTCACATGAGCGGGTCAGTGTCGAAACTTCCGGAATACCCGGGCTGACAGGGCTACGCGCTCTTCACTGCCAGGACCAAATTGAGCGCCAACACCAGAAGCAGCACCGGCATGAAGCTTGGTCACGAACCAGCCCGGAGTATGACGGTACCAGTGCTTACGTGCCAACAACAGTAGCGACAGCGCCCAAAGGAGTGGTTGTTGGTGGCGGCATCGACTGACATCAGTGCACCAATACCTGCCCTACCTGTTCGGCTTGGAGAGGTCTGATCGGCCGGCCTCTTCGGGGGAATGCGGTCGTTCTTTTTGGTGAACCGCCACCTAGTTGCCGCCGGTAGAGGACGAACATCGTGCGTTGGAATATACGTGTCGAAACGAACAGGGTTGTGATGGCCACGGATCATCGATACGCACACCAACAAGTGGTGGGTCGATCCCTCGACATGCTTTTGGTTTTGTTTTTGAGTGCGGTAGTGGCAAGAAGCGACCCGGCGGTGCGAGAGGACGGAGTTCCAGAGGCACGACGATGCGCACAGCAGCTGCGTTAACAACAAATGGAACATCGAAGAACGACAGGCCCATGCTGTAGAGCTGCAACGGATGTACGGGCGATGGTACAATACGCGTTTTGTTCCATCTAAACCATCATTGGTCGTCTTCACATGCCTCGACTATGCTGCATGATGCCGCATGTACATGTACCACCCGCACGGGTCGAACGCCGTTGCACATGTTGGACAAGAGCATCGTACATGTGTAGTCGTTTTGCATGTAACAGCAGATCTCCGCTGGAGTTTGGCAAGTTGATGTTACAGCAGCAGTTACGACTGCTGTGGTGCACGTGGTACGCAATTTGTCTGTGTCAGCGTGTCAGCCTGCAGCAGTACCTTCTTTCCGTGAGCATCCACCCAGACGATTTTCTCTCCGTCGCAGGTACTTCGGTCATCCCACGCGGCAAGGGTCAGGGCAAAACCTAACCCCAGTCCTAGTCCTGCCGAGCTTCCGCTGGAGCTCCTCGCTTCCCCGTAACGGTCTGATGCAGCTGCCGGTGCCACCAGTCTAGTACGGCTGTTGATGGCTCTAGCCACCAGCGGCAGCGCTTTGCGCCCGCGCAAATATTGTGGATACATTGACATATGCTTCTACACGCCCCCTGAGTGCCCGCGCGGAGATGCGTGCTGTGCTGGCCAAGCCTGGTCACTCTCAGGCACGAGTTGCCTGCTGTGACAACAGTTCCCATCAATGGCGGCTCCGTGAAATCATACTGACGGTACAGGGTACATTCTGCGGGGCCCCAACCAAACACGTACTGATGGTCTGCGCGATCGAAAACAGGAAAGCCCGCTCGCTGTCTCTCTACCGCTCTCTCTGGGTCGCTTCCCAGCAGTCCACATCCCACCCACAGGTAAGTTTTGGTCGGCGTCTATGGTCGAGGTCGCCTGCGGGCAGCTTGGAAGGATTCGATCTGTTTTGCCCGCCGTGTTCCCGCGGGGAGGGTTCGAACACGAGACGGACCAGTTGAAGCAACTCACCGACACACACACACAATTCCTGTTCGGCATGCGAACAGGGGCTAGCCCCGCCGTTCCCTCGGCACAAGAAAGAGAGAGGGAACAAGAAGTCGAGATAGGTATTGAGAGAGAGAGAAGCAGGCCCTGCCTCCGCCCTGCTGGTGTTCAATTATTTTCAATCCCGCGCTCCAAATCTTTCCCTTGCATTTTTTCCCTCCGCAACCATGTCGCCAGAAATCGCACGGTGGGCACCAACAACGGCACTCCGATTGAACCACTACCCTAAGAACAGATCACCCCATCTACCACTACCTCCCTTATTCAACCACGCCGGTGATTTATATCCCATAATACCCTGGCAAGAGGAACGGGCGGGTGGGAAAGGCTGCTCGACGTGGGCGGGAACTTTGTGTTCAAGTTTGGAGAGTTTGGGCGCCAGCTCTGTCGGTCTCCCAGGAGTCTTTCGAGGCCACTGCTGTGCGCACACTGCTTGTGCGGCGCGTTTCCTTTTAAGCCCTCCCGCCGTGCGGTGGCGGTCCAGTTGCAACCCACCCTCTTGCGTGTCCTTTGTGTAGATCGGTGTGGTCAATCTCCGGTTTTGTCCCTCCTTGGAATGTGCTGGCTTTGCTGCGGGGTCTCGTCGACGCAGCAGCTGAACGAAATTGCGTCCTGTGTGCTAGCTACATGTACCACGGCGGTGTTGTTGGCTACGTAGCGCACTTGCGATCTTACGGCAGGGCGTTGAGCAGACCGCGGAACAGGTGTTGAGCCGATCTTGAAACAGTTTGCTGCCGACGACTCCACACATTGGCCCACACCGTGTGCGGTACGCCACACCAGCATCAGCTTTCCATTTCATTGCATTTTAGCAGAAGGACATGCACAACTTGCACATAATTCACATGCTCACATTTTCGACTATGTACAGCGGTACAAACAACACTTTTTTTTTTTTCTTGGCGGCAAATGTTTTTCCGCTTTTTATCCACAGAGTATTTTTTTTCGCCAAGCCACGCGGACGATACAGCAGCATTGAGCATGTAGAAACTCTCAGAAACACGTGTAAGACATACGCATTGAATTCCTGCATACGGTCTCGGAGCCGGCTGAATTTCTTGGCCCGGACACAAACGTGCTCGTCTCCTTCACTGCTGTCGAGTCGGTACATGTACAAAAAAAAAAAAAATGGACAGTACACTGCTCAGCAGAAAAAGGCGTGAAACGAACACAGTTTTTGCTGGATCCTCTGCTGTGGAAAGATTGCCGAATTCTGGAAACGATCCAGGCGCCGTAAGCGCAAGCAACCGCTCACTTCGCTACGTAGATGGTTGTTGCTGATCCACCGTCATGTAGCCTGATCCACCATTTTGTAGCCAGGTATTTTTCGTGCGAGCGAAACTTCCTGTCCCCCCACTGGCGCTTCCCCTGGCGGCGGAAAAATTGAATGTCCTCCACAGTAGAACACCGCCTGTCTGTCTGTCTGTCTGTCTGTCTGTCTGTCTGTCTGTCTGTCTGTCTTTCTGTCTTTCTGTCTGTCTGTCTG